ATAAGGTATCTTAGTTATTCTTACCTAAAAGTAAATTAGTCTCTAAATCAGATGAGTTTGTTCAACATGTATGTTTATTACCCAACACATCTTGTTAATCAAGCCATCAGAGAAGTTACCAACGACAAAGACAAAAATCCTAAACCTGCTAAACTGGCTACGAGTGGTATAAGGGTATCCATCCCCTTTATTGATTCAAGATCACACCAAATTAGAAGATTACTTCAACAAGCAGGAATCGAGGTCTGCTTCTCTAGTGGGAAAACAATCCAAAGCATCGTGGCAGCAAATGGCAAAAAAGGACAGACCAACCCACCACCACCTAAGGGTTGCATTTACCAAATAACCTGCTCCTGCAACAAAATATACATAGGAGAGACCAAACGACCATTGGATAAGAGAATAAAAGAGCACCAATCCCTGGCAGCATACAATCAATCGGCAGTAGCAGAACATCTAAGTAATAATAGACGACACCGTGTAAATTGAGACTCGACACGGACGCTAGCCGTGAACCAGCACCAGAAAAAACCAGGAAAATTCTTGAAGCGATTCACATCAGAAGAAACCAGCCAGAACTCAACCGGGATACTGGAATTTACCTACCTCACGCGTATGACTCATTGATCTTGAACTTTTAAATAATTCGTTCTGAGTATGGATGTTTGTTACTAATGTGATTATAGGCCTTCAACGATAGGACATGTTCAAGTGTGATAGTGTTTTTAAACAGGAAAACTCTCGACGGAGCGTCACTTTAATTAATAGGACATTAGGTTCGACTACATGGCTTTGTGTTTAGTATGTGTTCTATTATTCATGATACTCAAGAAACATTGTCGCTCATCTTGGAAGACCTTATTATTAAGTATTACACTTATCTTAATCAGTACAGTTGTAGTTTGTGTCTTTTATTTATTCCGTTACTAGTATATATGTTAAATTGTCTCAAATTTTTTACTATTATTATTATAATATGGGTTGTTACATGCTAACGGTTTTAATCCTCATATAGGAGCTGTAGATTAATGAGAACAATGATATATCAACATTACGATTTCTTATTTAGAGTTCATATTTATCTTTTATATTTTTTTGTTCTTACTCCGTATTTGTAAAGAAGATTAAGGGTTTATCAGTATCAACGGTTGTTTTAGTTTAATTGTATATTTCCCTCCCTTTAAGGGTTTCTTATAGATTAATATTAATAATAGTTCATAGGTATTAGGTTTAACTTTGAATGGCTTCTGATTTAACTCTTAATTAGTTTATCGTTATCCACTTGTATATTGTATATAAGGGTTTCTTATTGATTAATAATAGTTTTCATAGGTATGAGGTTTAACTTTAATGGCTTCTGATTTAAACTCTTAATTAGTTTATTGTTATCCACTTGTACATAACCTTCTGTAACATGTTTGATTGTATCATTGCTTGATAACGGTGAGAGTATCCTCATTGAACGTTGCAGTTAATAAACCTAGTGAATGTTATCCATAAAGTTGTCATTTTATTATGTATGTTTATTTCTAGAGTGAATATATATGCTGCACGCTGCTTGAGTTTATATACATGTTGGTAACCAGGTCTGATTTAGAGCGTCCTAAGATTAACTCATTAAACAATTAGCACAATAGATTTAAATATAAGAATACAGTTTGAATGAACTTAAGTTATATATCTCTAGACGTTTTGGTAATTAAAACAATTAGATTAATTTACAACTAGTCTATCAAGATTAAGGGTTGATTAACGTCTATAAGAAATGTATAATAATAATAAAATATATGTATATACGAAATGAAATGAAATGAAATGAAATGGGGTTTAACGTCCTACTGTTTTGCTCCGAACTGGGCTAATGAAGACGGGCATACGCCATACAGTGTGCTATGAGGGAAATTTTGCCCGGACAGCGGCACTACGGCCTACTCTTATATCGAATTCCAACTGTCGAGTGATCTTTTACGTGCACGCCAATGTGTACACGGGACCTCGGTTTTTCGTCTCATCCGAATGACTAGACAGCTGTCCTTGTCAGGCCCTCCGTCCTGCATCACTGACAAGGGGAAACCACGCCGGAAAATCTGGATGAACTTTCTCGGCCAATGCAGGGATCGAACACCCGACCTCCAGGCTAGCGAGCCAGCGCCTTACCCACTTAGCCACCGTGATCCCCGTATATACGAAATGAACATGTGTAGTAACAATAAAATATATATAAAACTTTAAACATGCATTATGCAAGAGCTAAATCTGCCTATTTCAGGTCTTTCTTTAGGCCTGAAATGTTATCTAAATTATTAATTAGACATTAATTAACCTATCCAGGCCATAATCAACTCTAGATGGCTGCGCTAGCCTGCGATCTTTAGTGGATTGTAAGCCGATTTACTGCATAACTTTCCTTCTCTATTAAACGATTAAATGGATAATCGAGACTATGCTTATGGGAATTTCAGTCGCTTAGTTCTCGGTTCATAGTGGATCAATTTGAATGAAATTTTTACCAAATTGCCTTCTACCTTATCTAGTTTTTAACTATTATAGTGAGAACTGCCAACTCGTTACCGAATTTCCCATAATGTATCTTTAAGTACATTTATTTCACAATTAATGTTTGTTTGTACATGTAGAGTTATACTTTACTCTATCACAATATGGGCACTAGTTATATGCCCAGCATACATCTTCATTCGTTGGGCCTTAGCCTTATACGTAAGAAATCCACTAAGAATCAGATTCCGGCAGAAGATTTCAGAGAAAAATATAGCACTGTAGTCATGGGTTAGCTCTATTCGCTATGTGACAGGGGTTTAAGAAACAGATTTTGGACCAGAATTTGAGCGTATCTGAACGTTCCGAATTTCGAGAAAAAAAATCAATACACTAGGCATAAGCTAGCTCCATTCGCTACTTTGTGACAAAGGTTTATCAGGGGCGCACAAACATATTGTCCCAGGTTGGAGAGGGGGAGGGGGTGCGTCATAAAAAATCAGCCCACTCAGCATTAGAAAATCAATTATTACCCCCAGTTAGGTCGAAAAGTAGTTAGTAAGTATAGCATTATGTAACTGTTAAATGGCTCAGTTGAATATTGATTTGTAATTTTGGTTTGATTGAATACGTAAGAAACTCCGGCAAACCGGCCTATTTTCCCGAACACAACGGCCCATTCGCCCCCCACCCCCCCTGTTGTGCGCCCTGGGGTTTATGTGAGAGAAAATGCACTCGTTTTAAATGTACACAAATGCGCTGCGTCTCTTCCATCTACCTCCCCCGTCTGAAGGTTATACGTGCAAAAGTAGGTTTCGACTTGAATATTTCGGCTCCAGGGAGCTTTCACTTCTTCCAAATTCATCTATTTGTGTTCATTCTGACCACGTCACTTTGTATTGGAGTGAAGGACAGGCTAAACATCTCGAGAGCTCGGTCCGGTGACGAAACAGTCGTCTTGGGGAATTCTGTCCAAGCCGTATCTTCCTCAGTTGATAAATCAGCCGCCGCCATGAATTCCACGGGCCTGGTAGCGCCGTCGTCTCTTCTACTATATCTCTCAAATATCGAGATTGGCACTTATTCGTCCTCTTGGCCGACAGCTGGCCTCGAGACGGTAACTTTGACGCACTCCTATCACTCCCATGGACGAGAGTATCGACGGTGAGGCGAAAAAGACGGCGACAAATATCGACAATTAAAAAGGAAAAGGGCAGTTTTATTGAATGTACAGGTATTCTCGTGCATGGTTTCTAAATTGGCTTGCGCCGAAATCTGTGCGATGTGTGTCTTCGTATATTAATTATGTTCATTTAGTTACGCAATCCTTTATCCGCAGTAGCCATAGTGTAGTATTTATATCCTATGTTTTTCTCCCCTGGTTACCTCACTCTTATTTTGATTATCTAAACCGTTATTTACGAATGTAGCACTGAAAGTCCATGGTTTAACGTCCCACTGTTCGAGCATACTTGATAAAACATAAAAATGCAGATTGTTATTCAGAAAAAAAATATTTGTACTTAAAATAGCTCTGAATAATCTAATTATTAAAAGTATTATAGGGTAAAGCCCTCTTAAATAAATATGTCTTTAGTTTAGTTTTAAAAGTAGCAATAGCAATGTATACCTTTAATAAGGTATACAGCCCAGGGTAATTTAAAGATGCAGTGATCTCTAGTATATTATACGAGTATCATAATACGTTAGAGTTGTGACTATATTATCAACTATATAACCACTCTACCACATATGTATTATATTTGATTTACGGTTTTTAGAAGCAAGGTTTTGTTATCGATAGTGACACAATGTCGTAATAAAGTTGCTATATGGGACTGTAAGAGGATACCTGACAATTCGATAAAGTACTTGAATGTCATTAGATAAAAGAACACGAGAAAAATAGAAATAGTCCGTACATTCCCTTGTTTATATTCATTCTATACCTTATAAAAACATGGTAATGCACGGACTTTTTCTGTTTTTCTTTCGTGTCCTCTTATCTAGTGGCAGTCAATTCTTTTTATGAATTGTCAAATATCCTCTCACAGTCTCACACAACAACTTTTGGTCTTCGAAGGAATTATTAGTGAGCAGAAATTCGGCCGTGTATCTTTTATCACTCGTCACATCAGTCAATTATTGAATTGTCATGTATCCTCTTACAGTCCCACATAGCAACTTTTGGTCTTGGAAGGAATTATTAGTGAGCAGAAATTCGGCCGTGTATCTGTTATCACTCGTCACATCAGTCAGTTATATAGAGGGATTACTCGTGATTTCCTTTGGCGTTCGTCACTTCCGATTCAGGAAACCTGTATTACTCAGCTATCGTAGCAATGATCTCTGTGTTAAAATTATATTTGGAATGTGTTTAATGACTGGCACCAATATTGTCCTTTAAGTAGCTAACATGTTATACTATAGGTGTTCGAGACTAGTTTCTACATAGGTTATTAATTTCTCCTTTTAATGCTGGCAACCTATGTTTTATATTTCAGGTAGCGATATTCCTGGTATTGATAAGAATATCGTATCTGACGTTATTAATACCTTGTCATCGGGCACATCTCATGTTGTGATTGGCCGAACTTATGACGGTGGATATTATTTGATCGGTTTGTCAAGACAATGTAGGCCTTTATTAGGTTAGTTATAAATTGGTTTATTTTTGACAAAACGGAAAGTGTTTTACGGGTGAACAGAAAAAAATCTTCTCAGATTACCCATATCTCGGTTATTACTCAAACAATCTTCATCTGGTTTTCATTTCTGGATTTTTTGAACGAATTCTTTACAGGCTTTGTCTGATTGCCTGTTTGATTATCCCTGTGTTAAGTCTACGTACGCTACAGCCCGCGATAGTGTTACCTGGCACAATTTATTGGCGAAAGCCGTCAGATATCAATAGAGGTCTAACGATATACACGTACCCACGAATACTGACTGGTTAACAATATTTAATATGAACCAGTTTTTAGCTGTAAACGAATGAGTATGGTGCTCCCTATGACGCCCGTGCCGTTTATATCGCAGAAGTAATCATATTATTTTTTAGTTCCCTATTATTACCTCACTTTTTTTTAAACTATCTAAACCTAAATTCACAAATGTAGCAAATACATACCATGTTTTCTTGGGAGATTACCTTATTATTCTATGTATGTACGTACACGTAGACTTTTTTGTAGATTATTTATTTTTGATAACGACTATTGGAATCTTGAAATGTGAAATGTTTTTTTAAACTGTCTAAACCTAAATTCACAAATGTAGCAAATACAAACCATGTTTTCTTGAGAGATTACCTTATTATTCTATGTGTGTACGTACACGTAGACTTTTTGTAGATTGTTTATTCTTGATAACGACTATTGGAATCTTGAAATGTGAAATGTTTATTCTTGATAACGACTATTGGAATCTTGAAATGTGAAATGATGAATTGACGCGGCGAGACGTATTTTGCCGAAACATGCCAGTTCTGCTAGCGGTTCTAATATTTCTTCTGATATTAATCAGACGGATCAGCCAAAACTGTGCATCCTGGCAATACAGATTTACTAGGCCTGATGGTAACTATAGGATTTTTGTCTGGTTTTCATTTCTTGATTCTTTGGGCAAATCACATATGGGCCCTCGTTAACTCAATTCTGCATACTCCTAGGTAGTTTCTGCAATAGAAATGCGGACCGCGGTTAATGGTCGGTCTAGACGTATATTATCACCACAAAAAGGTCCCAGTTCGAGATCCGTGTCCAAAAGGGTCAAATTGGCCAAAATTCAAAATGGCCACTGATTTTGGTCCAATTACCAGACTACGATCGAGTGTGGTATTAAAATATAGGTTTTCGGGTTAGCTGCATCCATTTCCATACAAGTTGTGGTGATTAGCGAGGGAACATTTGAATTCGAGCGCTACTGTACTTTCGTACACCTGCGGATGCTCGGGTTAATTATGGCCGCACACCAAAGTTCAGACGAATTTTACACACCCACGAAAGTCAGAACTATTCTGCCGCCATCTTGTTTACTATTTAGACTCGAATTTCAAGACACCATGAACACCAGTAAGCTTCCTCCTTACTACTGGTCAATAAACGTTATCGGCAAATTATTGTAATCAGCAAATGGACTGTTCACCATGTACAAAATACATGATGAACAGTGGTCAGTGGTAACAGGTGTCCGGAAGAGTAAGCCTACCCTGTCTATGGCGCCACACCCACCATAGCTGCATCTAAACCATTAGACGAAATCTCGGTAAAATAGCGTAATCAGCAAAAGAAGATCTGTGTGGTAGTGACCACCTTGATTGATAATAATGATCCTTCTACCGTGGAAAGATCTCAGATGTGGAAGTTGCATAAGGCTGACTGGGCTCATTTTGAGATGGGCTCATTTTGAGTCTTTGTGTCTCTTCTCTTTTGATGCAAAGGAGTTGGAAGATGCCTATGGCCTTATTCTCATCAATTCTTCAAGATGTAGCTGAGCAGGCGATTCCGGAAACCATGATGGAACCAAAACGTTTCAATAAACCATGGTATAATGACAATTGCAAATCTGCTCTAAAAGAGCGTGGTCATATTTTGAGACGACTTAAGAACCATCCTTTTATAGAGAATATTGCAGCCTACCAAATGATCTGGGCGAAGGCCCGTAGAACCATGCGTCAAGCAAAGGGGTTTAATGGCAAGGTTATGTCTCAAGGATCAATTCCCGTACCACACCCAAGTCGGTATTGGATCGGATTCGTAGGATTATAGGTAAAAGTAATGCAATTAGGAAATTAAGGAAAGAGAAAAATAAGGTGCTCAAAAAAGAACATGATTGGCAAAATTCTCGACCAATCAGAAATGAATATATTAATCTTACGATGAAATAGAAGAAGAAATAAATAATAATACAAATTTAGATAGCAAAGACTGGTGGTGTCTTGTCAATTCTCATGTGAAAGGGCAACTTGTAAAAAATGATGAATTACCATTTATCTGGAAATTAATGACACAACCGCATGTGCGGCTGTCTTAAATTGTGATCTTGAAATGTTAAACAATTGGGCTGGTTAACCCACTGAAAACTGAATCATCTGCACTGACTACTAAACGAGATCCACTATTACCTACACTAAATTTAGACGGTATTCCTATCAAAGAAGTTTATCAAAACCAGCATTTGGGATTGACTTTTCAGAAAAACTGTAGATGGGACAAACACGTTAAAATTATTACGACTAAAACGAATAAAATTATTAATTGTCTTAGATCTTTAAAATACCGCCTTAATAGAAATACTTTAAAAACGATATATATATCTTTTATTCTTCCATATTTTGACTATTGTGACGTTATATTGGATGGATGCACAGACGAACTAAAAATTAAATTAGAACGCTTTCAACTATATGCACTCAGAACTTTATGCGGAGCTGTAAAGTGTACCAGTCATGGGTTATTATATTAAGAGATGGGATTTATCTCTCTGTAAGCGAGGCGAAGGCGTCATAAACTCATCTTAATGCACAAAATTATTAACCATCTAACTCCTCAATACCATTACAATTTAATTCAATTTTCAGTTAGCGTGCGCGTTGTATCATAAGGTATGTCATTGAGTCAGCTGGCGTGGTTTCGATTCCCCGGTTGTATATGACAAGGAGTAGGGTCGCCTGTCCAAACTCCCACTGCTAAAGACCCCTACGCTTAAGCGAATTATTGAAATAAAATTGAACCATATGTTAGTCCCGAAATGACCTAGTTTGTGTCGAGTGGACGTTGACGGCACTGATATACAACTGTTAAAATTTTGAAATCTATCCTTTCACTTTTCCGCAACCAATGCAGAGAATTTAGTACTCGAGATATACGAGGACGTTTTGGTGACTTGGAAACTAATCTGACTGCAGCATTTTGTATTACGTAGTTTTTGTATTGATTCACACGAAATGCCAGTAAGATGACTGTTACAGTAATCCAATTTTTATAATATAAATGATCGTACAAGGGTTGCTGTAGATTATGTAGTTAACATATGATATATGCTGCTGATGTTCCTAAGATTGTAGTAGCATATCTTGGTAAAATGTATCACATGACTGGACACCAAGATTTCACTTTGTCGGTGAACGCAATTTTCACTTCACCAACTTAACGTGATCTACATCTTTGAAATCCGTGATGATGGACCGATGTGTGTGGCCTCCGTCTTGCCATCGTTCAGTTTTAGTTTATTGCATAACATCCAGGAATTTACGTCAGCAATGCATGTTGAATGTTGTACAGATTTGATAGTGTTATAGTACAGGCAAACTCTCTATTAGCTGGGTTTCATCAGCATATAGATGATTTGATAGTTGAAAACCATTTATAATCTGACCAAAATGACTAGTATACATGGTCAATAGAATTGAGTCCAATACGGGTCCTTGCGGAATACCACAGTTCAAGAGTTTACATTTCGTAGCCTCTTTTAATGGATGGACTGGTATTTAGAGATTTGATGGGAGGTCTGCTATTATAAGTAAAGGCAACTATTTTCGGAGAGTCACGCACCAAGCTCTTCGGACGATTAGTTAAAGGACGATATTGGTGTCAGTCATTATCACATATGTGATAGAACTCGTTAAACACGTTCCAAATATAATTTGAGCACAGAAATCATTGCTACGATAGATGCGTAATGAAGTTTTCAACAAACGGAAGTGACGAACGCTAAAGGAAAACACGAATTATCCCTCTATATAACTGACTGAAGTGAAAAATGATAACAGTTTCACGGGCGAATTTCTGCTCACTAATAATTTCTCCGAAGACCAAAAGTTGTTATGTGAGACTGTGAGAGGATATCTGACAATTCAAAAAAGTAATTGAATGTCACTAGATAAAAGAACACAACAAAAATATGGGCCAAAAAAAGTCCAATGATTGTCTGATAATTACTTAAGGTCAAAGTCGGGAAAACTTCATCCCCAGTCAAATTTTGTAAAAAATTTAAACCCGATATATTTTTAATCGATGCTACTGCGAAAATCTTATTAGGTTAAATTTAATCTTAAAGAATTATAAGTGAGCAGAAATTCGCCCGTGTATCTGTGTGTGAAATAGCTTTATTTAACGTCCGCTTCCACCGAAGTGATATCGCAAACAATTACATGTTATATATACATAGTGAAATATTTACAATGTGATTAGTGGAAAAAAAGAATAGTTAGGTTTTTGTATATATACATCTATATGTACAAAAGACAATAGATAACAGGACGAGACGTGAAATAACAGGTGCAATCGAATCCTGGACCAACAGGTACGAGGGCCACTCAGGCTAAACTATCCTTCACAACTCCCTCGGAAGAATCGTCTGCTCCTAAGGGAGACAAATCCAATGAATATAACGAACTAATGACCGCGCTCTAAAGAATTGAGCGTAACATGAATGATCAATTTCGAGACATACGCAATGAGATAACTGTTTTAAAAGAATAGCTTGGTAAATATGATCATATTGCTAGTGAGGTTGACGACTTGAAGGATGCCACAAAATCACTATCTGATAAATTGCAAAAATATGAAACCCGTATAAAGATAAACAATCTGATTTTTCTCAATATTAAAGAAAATAAACCCGAGAACTTTGTTGAAACAGAAACTGC